CCAAAACAGGATGGGATTTGGAACATAGATAGATATAATGGACTTCTACAAGAAGGTATGGTCACCATGCACATGCATACACGTGCGTGTACTTGGGCTGCAATCTATTGGCTGAAACTTAAAACACAAACTTTTTGGTTTTAACCCAAAACGGGGTGGGATTTAGAACATAAAGATGAAATGAACTTCTACAATAAGGTATGGTCACCATGCTCATGTATGCCCGTACATGCACGTGAAATGAGTACATTCAAAAATACACTTGAAACAAATTTTAATACTTTTTGATTAAATACTTTAATATTTAGTATATTGAAATACATAGACTGTGTAATAGATGATATGATATTACGCACATGCATTCACATGCGCAGGTGCTTTGCTTTTTGATTGAATTTGGGACACTTCTGGGTAAAAGTTGTTAAAGTCTCAAATGCAAGTTTGTTTTTTTTAATGAAGCTTACAGGAAATAGGGCCCCAAAAGGGATTTAGGGTTTGGGAAATCTGTAACGGTTCCCGTTACAATTGCACACTAGTTTGTAGTAAATTATATGTGAGAAAAAAAAAGAGAAAATAACAAAACATTAAGTGCGTATAAATGATAAAAAAGTGCAATTTTCTATTAAAAAAAATTATTGTTCATGTTTTAATTAGAAACTATTTATGTACAATTATTATAATTATTATCAAATTTATGACATTGTCTTTTCTTCCTATCGGAAGAAGTTCCGCTAATTTTAAGCGAAGGAATGTAAATATATGGAAATATATCTATATATGTAACATTGTATGGAGATGAATACATGTATGATGAGATATAATAAGCAAGAATAAACCTATTCGTTGTGGCCATTGCATAGCATAGATAACAATGATCATAAATGGTCTGTCGACAGTTCTATATAATTGGTGAAAAGAAACATTTTCTAACATAAATAAATATTTAAAGAAAATCTGCAGATGATTTTAATTTTGTTTCCATGTAATTTGCAAAAGAAAATATCAAATGTATGCTCTGTAGATGAGTTAAATATACAAAGATTGATTCTAAATTACCGTAATACTAAAAGTATAAGTTTAATATTCTTTATATGGCGTGTCCAAAATATTTTAGTTTTAATCATTGTCATGTATTTTTTAGTCACCCGAGATGCCATGGGAAATTATATCGTCCCCCCGGCGGGAAAACCCCTGACGTCACTTGGTGAGTATAATTCTGAAAAAAGTTACTAATATTTAAAATACAACCCACGCCATCATGAACATAGAAATGACAAGGATTTTTTTAAAGGCGGAGAGTGTCAAGCTCTATTTCAATTTCAACAGGTGAATAAATAATAAAAAAAATGTTTATAAACTGCTTGAGCTTGAAACTGCCTGTGAAGGGCCTTCGGTAGTAAAGGATATACATGTATAATGTTTGTACACATTTAATATTAATAAACAACAGGAGAATATGAACACCGATATGGAGAAAAAAATCCAAAAGCTTTAGGTTATGTTAGTATAAAAGGGAAACTGTATTGAAAATTGTGGGTGGTTCGGCAAGTTATTGGATCCGCCTATACGTATTATTACATTCCCGTTCTGAGCATTTTTGTTGTTGTTGTTTTTAATTCTTTTTGGGGAAAATCTTTTTTTTTTGATTTGTACAAAGTGTATTTACTGTAATTATATTGGTCTAATCAAGCGATTTCGTGAGAAGAGCACTTGTAATTTGTAAACATGAAAGAGAATCATGTACAAATTTTGATAATCTTGCATATATTTATATAATCTGACCAGTTACCAGCATCTCAGCACATTTTATCACCTACATTTTATCATTAACACTATTTCATTTCTTGTATTTTCAAAATTAGGAATAAATATTTTTAATTTACAATATAATTCACAAAAGGGGTAAGATTTATTCATTTCTCTGAAACCGTCAGGCCAAACAGAATTACATTCGAACGTCGGAACTGCCATTTAATTGCTTGAATAATGCAATTTAATCGTCTGGCACTCCACATTTTATGTGCACTCTAAATGAATTGATAATGCTGCTGACACAATAATGTCTGAGACTATAGTAGCGGTTCCTGATTCATAAAATAATTAAAGGAGTCGATAGGCACTGCAATACACGGATCCATTTTACTGAATAGCACAAGCTGTATTGTGTATTGGTAATTTAAAATTGCTTGATTGAAAATTAAATGATCAACTGTCTAATTCAAAGACCATGTGCATCGAAACATAACACTCGTTTTCTTAACATCGCATTATCTACAAAACAATGTAATCGAATGGAATATTTTAAAAAACAAGTATCTTTGATAGGTATTTTAAGTTTAGAACATTTACATTTATACATGATAGACTGTGTTTTGGAAATGATATCCATTTTGCCAATGAAGGTATTTTTGAATGTTTTTCTTTCATATATGTATAAAAAAAATGTTAAAAAATGATTAACGAAGCTCTCAACAGTAAGAAAAAAGCTGAGTTTTTCTTGTTCATTTTCAACTTGGGGTCCTTGTCATATTTCTATAAATAGAAAGATAACCGAATTACAAAATGTTGCTGTTAACTATGAGAAAACATATGTAAGTTTTACTGTATGCGATGTTTTCACATATATTTGTCAAAAATAAATTTTTGAACACGTTTAATCAAATAGAGTCAGTAACTTAGATTTCATATTATATCAAAGAGAAGACCACTCTAGCTACATAATTCAGACAGTAATACCTGCACTATGGTGTTTGCCTCTAAATACACCCTCCTTTATATTGGACTTTCCAAGGAAGAAGTCAAAATAATTCTATAATTATCTCCGTACATGTATTCGTTAAATTGAGCATAAAATTTTCAGGTGATCATATGATCTATGAGCCTCACATATGTATTTTGAATACTTAATTCATTACCAGTCTGAAATAACAGAATTTAATTAATGATTGAAGTAAATTACTTAATTAGATTCAGATAAATATTTTGCCCATAATTTGGAACTTTTTAAATTTACTTTCTCAACGACATAAAATATTATTTTAGTACAAAGCGTTTTTTATGAATTTATCAAAATGTGCAAACTGATTTTAGTACTTGGTCGGGAAAAAAACCCATTGAAAATACAACCCGATTAATTTGTCAATGCCTATCTCTCTCTCTCTCCCCCCCACACACACACACACACACTCACTCTCACATTTTTTTAAAAATAGACCTAGATGGCAAAGTTATGTTAAAACATAGTTTATTACGATAGTTTGAAATTTGTTCTTGTACTAAACAGTTTTACGTGTGAACATTTATTTTCTACATTCACATTGGGTTTGCGTCACCCATTATCATATTTATAGATATCACCTCTCGGCACACCTCGGCCGATTCATACTGGCAACGGAATCAGCAAAGTTTGTCGAATGAGATTATTTAGCACATGTATGCTGACGATGCAGTGTGGTTAGTTAAAATCATTTGTGTTTTAATTGGATTATATGGATTATATTTCATGAATTCGTTGTCACGACCTATGACATTCGGTAAGTACAAGATTTAGTATAGATTGCATAAAAATAAATAAATGCAAATGGTTAGGTTGAAGTTCAAAAAGGGTCAAAGATCATCGCATGCCACAGTCGACAAATTTCACATTGTCAAGTTATCTCCCGTTGCGGACATTCAGTATTATACAGGCGCAGATCCAGAATTTTTTTTTTCAGAGGGGGGGGGGGGTGTCACACCTCAGTCAAAAAAATCAGCCCAAGATTTCCTGAGAAGCAAATAAAAAATAATAATAAAAACAATGATAGTGGAGTCCCTGTTTTCTAAGGGGGAGGATGTCCAAAGTCATTTTTATTCTCTACAGTACATAGTCTTATTTAAATAACTGCTAATTCCAAGGGGGGGGGGGTCTGATCTCCCTAGCCACTGACTCCCTGTACCTGAAATGACAATTGATCTTATGACTCCATAATAGTAGAAAATTTTTTAATTTGACTATTTATAAATATTTTGTTTCCTATGTTTATGTATGTTTGTCTGTCCACAGAAACTTTAACCTTGCCCATAAGTTTTAAATGGATTGGGCTATACACATGGCTTCAATATTTCATAGTTAAATTTCTTTTAGCAAAACCTTTTAATGGGTACCACCAATTTTGACCTCTTGATCTCTTGACCTTGGAGTTTGACCCACTTTTACAAGAAAAATACCTTAAACTTGGCCTAAGTTTTGAACAGGTGGTGCTAGGACTTTCATGCTCTAACATGTGTAATCATTGTTAACTTTCAACAGGTATAATTATTTTTGACCTAGACCTTAGAGTTGAACCCAATTTAACTTTAACCATGGCAATAACTTTTGAACAGGTGAGGAAGTTCTAGGGATTTCTCTCTTTTTTCACATGTGTATTCCTTGTGACAAGACTTTCCCTTTGATACCAACAATTTTGACCCTTTGACCTTGACCTTGGAGTTTGACTTACATTTGAGAAACTTCAACCTTTGCCAAAAGCTGCCATAACAGTTGCTGTCACAACAAACAAACAAATTACTAAAAAAAAAACACAGAATACATGTACGTATTTTATATTCAACAGATATACATCTGGTCATATCTCTAGTTCTCCCTTGAATGAGACATTGTGATATAAATTTTAAAAAATAATTATAAGAGTTGAAAAGGTTGTGCATATTAAAATATACTAAGCTCTGCGGATGAATTAGATATACCAGTTTAGCTTTATTTTGCTACCCAAAGCACCTTGATTAACTATTTATAAGCATACTGTTTTCTGAAATGTACTGATTTCTGTTGTCCATCTGTTTATCTGCAAACTTTTGACATTAACTTCTTAAGAACCACTGGGCCAATTTCAACCAATTTACATTTAAATATGCTGGGGACTTTTTCCAACATAAATCTTCTTCTCAAGAACAGCAAAGACATTTATTGTCCCCATTATCGCTAAAGGTAGGGTACATTAAATCTCATTTGTTTGTTAATCTGCCCATCTGTCACAATAAATTTAACCTTGGTCATCATGGTCATATATTTTGAATGAGAAGAGATGTTATATTAAACATGTGTATTAGTATTAAATGGGACAATACCATTCTAAATACACTATGATTTTTATTACCCATGACCTTGAAGTTTGACCTAATTTCATAAACAAATTAATTGCTTTAAATTGATCATTTTGAAAGGTAAATGAAAGGGCATTCATATTACCTGTGATATTAAGACCTTTCCAAATGTATCATGACTTTTTGACTCTGTGACCTTGACCTTGAAGTTTAACTTAGTTTTCATTAATGTTGTATTTCCTTTTCATTGAGAAGAGATTCGACTTTCACATTTCAAGTGAACATTACCCATAACAAGATGTTTCCCAACATGCTATGATTTTTTACCCCTTGACCTTGATGTTTTAACAAAATTTCAAAAGAGTGAACTCTCCCAAAAGAGGATAAGACCACTGTTTAAAACGAAAAAGGAGTTTAATAGGGAAGACTGGGCTTTTTCCATAAAAAACATCATTTTTCGACCCTCATTTGACCCCCCGGGGCAAAATCAAAATTCCGAAACCTAACTGCACATCTACATGACCCCACCAACCATCTCCCAAAAGATGATTAGGCTGCTGAATAAAATGTAAGAGGTGTTCAGGGAAGATGGGGCTTTTAGCATAAAAAACGTCATTTTTCGACCCCCATTTGACCCCCTGGGGCAAAATCAAAATTCCGAAACCTTACTACACATCTGCATGACACCACCAACCATCTCCCAAAAGATGATTAGGCTCCTGAGTAAAATGTAAGAGGAGTTCAGGGAAGAAGGGTCTTTTTGCATTAAAAAAGTCATTTTTCAACACCCATTTGACCCCCCAGGGCAAAATCAAAATTCCGAAACCTTACTGCACATCTACATGACACCACCAACCATCTCCCAAAAGATGATTAGGCTCCTGAGTAAAATGTAAGAGGAGTTCAGGGAAGACGGGGCTTTTTGCATAAAAAACTTCATTTTTCGACCCCCATTTGACCCCCCGGGGCAAAATCAAAATTCTAAAACCTTACTGCACATCTACATGACCCCACCAACCATCTTCCAAAAGATGATTAGGCTGCTGAATAAAATGTAAGAGGAGTTCAGGGAAGACGGAGCTTTTTGCTTAAAAAACGTCATTTTTCGACCCCCATTTGACCCCCTGGGGCAAAATCAAAATTCCGAATCCTTACTGCACATCTACATGACCCCACCAACCATCTCCCAAAAGCTGGTTAGGCTGCTGAGTAAAATGTGGAAGGAGTTCAGGGAAGACGGGGCTTTTTGCATAAAAAACGTCATTTTTCGACCCCCATTTGACCCCCCGGGGCAAAATCAAAATTCCAAAACCTTACTGCACATCTACATGACCCCACCAACCATCTCCCAAAAGATGATTAAGCTACTGTGTAAAATGTAGGAGGAGTTCAGGGAAGAAAAGTGTGACAGACGGACGGACGGACGGACGGACATGAGTAACAACAATATACCCGAACTTTCTTTAGAAAGTGCGGGTATAAAAACGACAAAATAACCTGATAATCAATCGTTCTTGCACAGAGTCGTGTTTTGTTTTCATTTTCAGACGAGGTGAATGTCTGAGATCTTTACTATAATCACCTATGACGATACAATGTCAGATGAACTAAATCATAAAGTAATGGATTTTACCAAATTAACAATCAAGTCCATTGTTGATAAGGAGAGATAGATTCCCATATTATGAATGTTGACCACTACCATCCTTTTCCATTCGGGGATAACAGAAGTCGACCCCAATACTTGAAGATACATTGTAATGATGGATATCGATATCCGCCAATACAATATCATCTGACCCAAGGTCAGATTTGGGTCACTTTCATTTGATTACCCTACAAAGATTAAAACCTTCGATCTTTGGATACGGAGATCCACTTAAGGTCCTTTTACATAAAATATATACTAAAACATTTTTATTATGAATCAAGCGCAAGACTTTAGTTAGCTAAACACAGTTTCGAATAAAGTCTAGGATTTTTCCCTCAGAGAAAAGCATGACGAACAGAGATTTCCCTTATATTTATATATTATATGCAATCTACATGAAAATTTGGACTTTAATTTTTTGGTAAATAGTTGAGACTTGTCTTAAAATTGAGAAAGAATAAAAATTTACTTTCGTACACATTAGGTATTTGCAAAGAAAAGCTGGAAAAAAAGTACCCATTGGCAAAAACCTTAGGACTTGTTCTGCGTATTCACTTCCTCTGAAAATTATTTGTATTTTATTTAAGGTGATCCAACCCCTGGGCCCGCGGATTATCTACCTTTGATTAGTCATAAGGCATCACTTCCTCATTACTCTATTTCCGGAAAACATAAAACAAGTAAAGGTAAGTTTCAATTTAAAAAGTAAAACTATTCGGCTCAATTTTTGAATACATAACAAGATGTGTTTGTGAAACACTGCACCTAGCGGCAACAAAGTTCGAAAAAGCTACTTTTAGCATTTTGGTCATAGTCAAGGCCACAAAGTCATCGACCTTGGTGCCATTTGAAAGATCTTATATGTAATTAGTGAAGTATGCATACCAAATATGAAGTCTCCATCTCTTATGGTCAAAATTTATGGCAAAGGTTTAAAAAAAATTCTAGCATATATATGTAGGTCACAGTCAAGGTCACAAAGTCATTGACCTTGGTGCCATTTGAAAGAACTTAATTAGGAGAGTAAGCATACCAAATACGAAGTCTCTATCTCCTATCATGGATCAAAAGTTATGGCGAAGGTTTGGAAAAGCTATTTTTAGCATATGGGCACAGTCAGGGTCACAAGGTCATTGACCTTGGTGTCATTTGAAAGAGCTTAATAATTGGAGTAATTTTTGAATTAAATAATTGCGAATGATATTAAGATACATGTATAATTTATCATTGAGTGCAGTCTGTAATAAAACCAATTACAAAGCTGTGCATCTTCTCTTTAGAGTGTATCTCGATCTCGACTTAAATTATTTGCGTCACTTCCGTTACGCACTTACTATCTTTCTCATCCACAAACACACACACACACACGTTTTACTTTTGAATTTTGGTTCCGAGTAGGTTATAATTCAAATAAAATCGAATAAATAAATAAACGCATTTTAATATTTATGAGTAATTTTTTTCTTTGTCAGACAGTGTAAATCCCGGCCCCTCAGATTTCTCAACCAGTGGGGACTTGATTTGGAAAAATAAAACAGTAACTTTCAAAGGAAGAAGTAAATGTTCATTTGAAGAAGAAGGTGAGGTGCTATTGCGTAGCATAATTACTTACAATGGCAAAAATATTTTTGAGATCGAATTAGGGGCATCTAACCTATTGCCTACATAACACAAATATAAAAGACACACAGCTAATTTCATCCTTGACAAAGTTCTACATGCATCATAAAGTTTTCGTTTTTCAAATAATGTGACACGCGTACTTTTTATATTGTGTTTACTAGCTGAGAAGTACTGTACAGTTATCGGACCAGCGAAGTACAACTCTAGCTATCAGCAGTTTGGAAATAATTGTGGTCCAAAATTTAGTATTGCCCACAAGCAGCGTGCTGACGTCTATACCGGTCCCCCAAATAGCCAGGTACAACCTGTGGACTCACAAGGTAGGCTTTGGAATTTTGAAGAAACAGCTTTACATCACACAGCTCCCATTTACCTTATATTTGGTGATATATTGTTAAACGCCTTACATAATTTCATTTTATAGGTTTTTCAACACCTGGGCCGAATTACAGACCAAATTCCTCTTACTTCGGTCGAGGTCCAAAGAAATCATTTGGAGTTGCAAGGACGATAGTTTGGAAGTACTCACCGGGCAAGTTATTACAATGTCCTCAGAAATAATATATTCAAACGAACACAGCCAGACTTTCTTTACTAAGCTTACCTTTATGCCTACATTCCAGGTCCCAGTGATTACATTCTAAAACCAAAGTCACGTGGTCCTTCCTATTCCTTTGGTTGTAAGCTGCCGCCTCCTCCAAATGTTCAACAAAGTACGGTTGATATTTGATAATTATAATTAACTGATTAAACTAGAAAGTAATCAATCTACAAACAATTCGTCTGTATTGGCGTTTACAGTAAAAGCTTATTAATAACTTTTTAGGTCACCTGAGTAAACTCAGGTGACCTATTGCTATCCGTTTTCGTCCGTCGTCGTGCGTCGTCCGTTGTCCGTCGTCCGTCGTGCGTCGTGCGTCGTGTGTTAACATTTGAACATTTTCAGCTTCTTCTCTGAAACCACTGAACCAATTTTAACCATATTTGGCACAAAGCATGTATGGGTGAAGGGGAACAAAAATTGTGAATTTCATGATCCCTGCCCCCCTTGGGCCTGAGGGGTGGGGCCAAGACCACTAAAATTAATGCAATCTTTAAAAATCTTCTTCTTTACTCCTGGACATCAAGCAGTAAATCTGTTTGCATGATTGTAATCAGCAATGAGTCCTCTACCAAAATTGTGAAATTCATGGCCCTGGGGTCAGGGGTTCTAGTGCTAGGGCGGGGCTAAATAAGTAGGTAGTGAAAATGCATTATTTCTTTAAAAATCTTCTTCTCTGCTCCTGGGTATTAAATAAACAAACTAAGTACATAGTTATGATGAGCAAGAGTGCCTCTACCAAAATTGTGAATTTTATGGCCCCGGGGTCAAGGGTTCTGGTTTTAGGGCGGGGCTCTATTGATTATATAGTGAAAATACATTATTTCTTTGAAAATCTTCTTCTCTGCTCCTGGGTATTACATAAACTAACTAAGTACATAGTTATGATGAGCAAGATTGCCTCTACCAAAATTGTGAATTTTATGGCCCCGGGGTCAAGGGTTCTGGTGTTAGGGCGGGGCTCTAATGATTATATAGTGAAAATACACTATTTCTTTGAAAATCTTCTTCTCTGCTCCTGGGTATTAAATAAACTAACTAAGTACATAGTTATGATGAGCAAGATTGCCTCTACCAAAATTGTGAATTTTATGGCCCCAGGGTCAAGGGTACTTGTTTTAGGGTGGGGCTCTAATGATTACATAGTGAAATGCATGAATTCTTTGAACATCTTATCCTTTGCTCCTGGTTAATATTCTAATGATCTAATGACATATTTAAGGCCAGGATTTATTTTATTTTCAGTTTTATAAACCCTCCGCTCAAGGTTTAGAATTTTCAGAAAATATAAAACAATTTTTTCTTTCCGTTGTCAAATTTGAGTCGGGATCGAGATTTCAAATTTACAAAGTCGCACTTCCGGTTTTAAGATGAAACGGCGGGTAAATAATGCTAGATCTATCTGAGAAGATAGCTTGGTTTAGTGTAAAATTCATCGACTCGAGTGCCATTCAAAACGTTTCACCCGTTCAAAGGACAAATAAAATGCTGACGACTTTGTTGCACAATGACATGCTGGTGAGATAATTATGTGTTGTTTCAAAAGTATCTGTCTGTAAATTATTTTCCTCCCCCAGGTTTTAACAGGTCCAGCACAATGTCTTGATTAAGCTATATAGCTTTAAATAGCTATATAGCTTTATTAAGCTATTTAAAATAGCTTAATAAAGCTATTTATCTGCAGTTTTCAACAAAAATGTTTTTAGTAAGAAATAAATAAAAAGTCGCAAGTATTTGACTATTCATATTTGTACTTTGGGCTATCAAAAATACAACCTAAATCATAGAAAGTTCTAACATTGCTGTTGTTGAATACTTTTATGCAAAAGATGAATTTCCATTGTTTGGTTAACAGCACTATCATGTTGAGTGTGATGAGGCGTGGAAAAGTATGATTGCTTTTCATTGTGTTGAACTGTTACTAATCAATTATCCTGTTGGCCATAACTGACCTTCTTTATAATTTCATTCAAGAAATAACTGTGTGGTCACTCATCAATAGTCCCCAAACTTTTAAAAATTAGAGTACAAAGTCTCTCAAGGAGACGTAATTTGGTGAGTGATTTTTACATGCATTGTATTCAGAAGAGTTCAAAGTTTAATATTCCCACTGCACCAAGGTGCGACTTTTTGCATTTGCTGAAAAAATAAAACATTTGAGAAAAAAGTGTGATAAAATAGCTTAATCAAGCTATTCCGAATAGCTTAATAAAGCTATATAGCTAAATTAAGCTACATAGCTTAATCAAGACATTGTGCCGGACCTGTTTAAACTGCCAGTGGTAGCTATTGCATATTGTCAGCGACATTGTTTAGATCTCTGTTATAGCTTACAGTCTAAGCATCATTCTTCAGAAAAGGGTTGCTTATGCATCAGATGTAATGAATAAAACTATGGGAGAAGTTGAGTCCATTTGAGGAAGAAATAAACAATAACCTGAAGAAATAAAGAAAAAATTCAACTATTAAAAGGCAAAAATATACAAATATATACAGGCATAAGTGAATTTGTATCAGCCAGTAAAATTATTTTACACTTAATTGAAAAAATGTTCACCCTACTCCCTAATACTCCCTGTCTGTTTTATGATAGGAGTAATATAATTTTAGGCATCAAGTAAATTTTAGAACAATGCCTACACATTCACCTAACACATATCAAAAAAATTAAAATATATTGAAAGACATTTAAAGAATTGATTTTTTACATACATATTGACCAACATCACAAAATGTATAAAACTGGCCCAAACTGGCAGATGATGAAATAAGCAATTAATGTTCTACTTTCGTATTTGTAAGCATTATGTGTCCAGTGGTAAGGAGCCTTTTAGAATGGCATAAAAAAAGAATGTACAGATGTTAATAATTGATTTATCAAAAAAAAAAAAAATATATTTTCTTCTCATTCGGGACATTTTAATTCTCATATTCATAACTAAACCTAAACATAAAAAAAAATGCTGGCCTTGTAATGAAGAAAGGGGCCTCTTTCAAAATAGATAATTTCAGGGCCGCTGGGTCAGGGGTACCAGGGGGGTACTTTGACTTAAAAATAAATTAATGCTTTGAAATCTGCCCTTTGATAAGCAATGGTGCCTCTTTCCAAATTTGTGAATTTCATGGCTTTTGGATTAAAACATGAACCAAATACAATCACTGGAAAGTTGTTGCATGATACTCAGGTGACCTATAAGGCCAGTGGGCCTCTTGTTTTAATTGTCTGCAGAGAGTTAATAGCTGATATACACTTAGTATTTATATACTCTGCAATCCATACTTTATTAAGATTTCCAACTGACAACTGCATTTCTATGACAATTTCCCAAAACTGAACTGATGGCGGTTACAGAACAGTTTATGTTTCATTTATTATATCTGTAGCCGTAAATAAGGACAGCCCAGCGCCGAACACGTACGATCTCTGTACTACTATTGGTAGAGCCACGTCTGTTATCATAGCGAGCAGGAGGCAGGAGAAAGACAGAGACACAAGTAAGCAATCTTGATTACCTCAAGCAACCTTAATTACCTCACAGGTTAAAGAAATAAGCAACCTTAATTACCTAAAGTTAAACAAGTGAGTCTAAATTACGTCACGTTAAACAAGTAAGCAACCTTTTAAAATTATCTCAAGTTAAGCAAGTACAAGCAAGTCTTAATTACGTCCCAGGTTAAACAAGTAAGCAGCCTTTTAAAATTATCTCAAGTTAAGCAAGTATAAGCAAGTCTTAATTACGTCCCAGGTTAAACAAGTAAGCAACCTTTTAAAATTATCTCAAGTTAAGCAAGTATAAGCAAGTCTTAATTACGTCCCAGGTTAAACAAGTAGCAACCTTAATACCTCAAGTTTAAGAAAACCTCTCAAGTTAAACATGTCCAAGCTCCCTTAATTTTCTTTTGGATTTGACAAGTGAACTCATTTATTTACAAGTCAGGTTATGCAAGGCAGTTCTTTCTCATTTTCAACAATTGAATTTATATTTCCTTTTTAAATTACTCTCAGGTTAAATTAAATTAAATTCACATAGACGATTGTAGGATGGTTTTTGGATATAAAATTCTTATATTTTGTTCACACACTTGCACAATAATTGATATATAACTCGATGTTTTTAGCTCACCTGAGCCGAAGGCTCAAGTGAACTTTTCTAATCACATTTTGTCCGTCGTCCATCCGTCTGTCTGTCCGTCTGTAAACTTTTTACATTTTCAACTTCCTCTCAAGAACCACTGGGCCAATTTTGACCAAACTTGGTACAAAGCATCCTTGGGTGAAGGGAAATCTAAATTGTTAAAATAAAGGGTCAGGTCCCTTCACAAGGGGAGATAATCAAGAAAAGACAAAATAGGGTGGGGTCATTAAAAAATCTTCTGCTCAAGAACCACTGGGTCAGAAAAGCTGAAACTTATGTGGAAGCATCCTGGGGTAGTGTAGATTCTAAATTGTTCAAATCATGACCCCCGGGGAAGGGCGGGGCCACAATGGGGAATCAAAGTTATCCATAGAAATATAAAGTGTTCAAATCCTGACCCCCGGGGAACGACGGGGCCACAATGGGGAATCAAAGTTTTACATAGAAATATATAGGAAAAATCTTTGAAAATCTTCTTCTCAAGAACCACTGGGCCAGAAAAGCTGATACTTATGTGGAAGCATCCCGGGGTAGTGTAAATTTTAAATTGTTCAAAACATGACCCCTGGGGGAAAGGGCGGGGCCACAATTGGGAATCAAAGTTTTACATTGAAATATATAGGAAAAATCTTTGAATATCTTCTTCTCAAGAACCACTGGGCCAGAGAAGCTGAAACTTATGTGGAAGCATCCAGGTATAGTGTAGATTCTAAATTGTTAAAATCATGACCCCCCCCGGGGAAGGGCGGGGCCACAATGGGGAATCAAAATTTTACATAAATTTATATAGGAAAAATCTTTGAAAATCTTCTTCTCAAGAACCACTGGGCCAGAAAAGCTGAAACTTATGTGGAAGCATCCTGGGGTAGTGTATATTCTAAATTGTTCAAATCATGACCCCCTGGGGAAGGGCGGGGCCACAATTGGGAATCAAAGTTTTACATAGAAATATATAGGAAAAATCTTTGAAAATCTTCTTCTCAAGATCCACTAGGCCAGAAAAGCTGAAACTTATGTGCACATGGAAGGATCCTTGGGTAGTGTAGATTTCAAAATGTCTAAATTATGATTAGTGGGGTAGGGTGGGGATGCATTATGTATTACAAGGGGGAAATCTGGTTAAGAACAAAATGGTCAAAGCTTCTCAGGTGAGCGATGTGGCCCATGGGCCTCTTGTTATATGATACATTACTTATTTTAAAAAAAATCTTTTCCATTGGTGCAAAAGGAGTCATTCAAATGCTACAAGCTTTTCCTACAATAAATGCAAAATTATTTGATTTAAAAGCATATCATTTTGTGTTCAAGGTGGACCATCTCCTGCACGATATTACCTTCCGGAGTCCCTCATCAGAGACCCAAAAGCTACAACCCTGGCATACAAGTGGTTTGATCCTGAAGGTACTGTAACGAAATCCATCCCGATCATGAGTGAATGTGATATTTTATAGAAAGTTCAGACTGTGGCGCCAGTAATGTTTCAGAGTCGAGAATTAGACATTTCATTCTGAAATAATCATTGATTTTGAGGCTCAGACAAACTATATAAGTTTATAGTGTAAATATAAACCCTTTCAGTTTTTAAAGCCAAAGAAAATAAAACTTCATTAGAATTATGAGTCAATATTTTGCAAAATCGATGATGGATTTGAATAGTTCAAGTAGCCACATAGGGGTCCCCCGCCTTGATTTGAAAAAGACGCTGAGTCACAATGATCTCAGTCCGCGGACATTCTTCACCACTGGTTCAAAGTCTGACATACTGAGTCCGCGATACTTCGAGGACACTCCGGCCCCAAATTCTTATCGAATGAAGACCACTATAGGCAGTACACCAGGAGTTTCATTTAAAGGTGACCGGAAACGGAACTTCGATTCTGCCAGAAAAGAGGCTTGTTTTCTTTTGCCGAATCTTGTTGATGATACACCCGGTCCGAATGCTTACAATGTGGAGGAAAAGTTTGGTTTTGGAAGTAGTAGAGCTTCATTAAAAGGCCGTCGAAGTGGACCGTTTCAGTCAAATCGAGGTCAAATGCACATAACACCCCAGTTTGATGAAAGAGGCTCAAGACTACTGGGCCCTCAAACTTACGATATACCCTCATCAATCGGAAAAACGCAAGGGGTCTCTTTGAAAGGAGATCGTGAAAGAAACTTCAATGAAACACCAAGACTGAACTGTGGGTTCCTTCTTCCAAAAACTATAGAGAAAACGCCTGGGCCCGGAAGTTATAATATTGGCTCAACAATGGGAGTTCATTCCCCGTCTCCGAGTTTTAAAGGTAGTAGAAGTAGCCTTGGTCCATTTCAGACCGACACTGACCGAACATATATCGGTCCTGAATTGTCGACAAATCGAAGGAACGATAAAATGTACGACGTTCCTGTAGCTGTCGGTACCACTCCGGGTGTGTCAATGAAGGGAGATAGGCATAGACAGTTTGACACAGCTAAGACCCAGAATGCTGTGTTCTTAGTTCCGGATATGATTGATCAAACTCCAGCACCAGGAGCATACGAGATTAAAAGCACAATCGGAGCAGAAACTGCAGCAGTATCGTTTAAGGGATCACGTGCTGAAAGCAGAGCACAAACGAAGCAAAAGTCAAGACAGCGGGCATTTGTTGAAATGAATACACCTGGTGTTAGTTTTAAAGGAGACCGAACCCGACGATTTGATCACCTGAAAGAATATCACGCTACATTTTTACTTCCTGCTGAATCTAATGATGCTCCCGCCCCGGGTTCATACAACATTAAAACAACAATTGGAAGTGGTTTCAATGGTTTAAAAGACAATCGGGTTCGGAATCACTATGGTGGACCATTCCAAGGAAACAGTGGTCCAATGTATATCAAACCCGAGATTAACACAAAAGACAAAACACCAGGACCAAACGATTATAAAGTGAACAGTTCGACTTTGTTTTCTTCCCCTGCCGTCTCCCTCAAGGGGAGGCGACTCAAATCCCTTTTTGGAGGTACAAATGTTTGAAGAGTGTGTTTGCTGTGTTCGGGGAGGTTGTAGTAGTGGCTACACGATTCCTGAAAACCGTGTTCATCTTAGCACAAATGCAATCAATTTTTTTCAGCGATATTTATTAGCTCACCTGAGCCAAAAGCTCAAGTGAGCTTTTCTGATCAAAATTTGTCTGTTGTCTGTCGTTGTCGTCATAAACTTTTCACATTTTCATCTTCTCAAGAACCACTGGGTCATTTTCAACCAAATTCTTGGGTGAAGGGAATTCATGTTTGTTCAAATGAAGAGCCAAGTCCTCTTCCAAGGGGAGATAATTATGAATTAATAAAAAATTAATGGCATCTTTTAAAAATCTTCTTACCCAGAACCATTGGGTCAGGAAAGATGAAACTCATGTGGAAGCATCCTCAGGTAGTGTAGATTCAGGTTTGTTCAAATCATGACCCCCGAGGGTAGGACGGGGCCATAATTGACGATCAAAGTTTTAGATAGACATACATAGGAAAATATTTTAAAATCTTCTTCTCCAGAACCACTGGGCCAGGAAAGATGAAACTCATGTAGAAGCATCTTCAGGTAGTGTAGATTCTGTTTTATACAAATCATGACCCCCGGGGGTAGGGCGGGGCCACAATGGCTGATCAAAGTTTAACATAGGAATATATTGGAAAAGTCTTTGAAAATCTTCTCCAGAACCACTGGGCCAGAAAAGATGAAACTCATGTAGAAGCATCCTCAGGTAGTGTAGATTCTATTTTGTACAATTCATGATCCCGGGGGTAGGGCGGGGCCACAATTGACGATCAAAGTTTTACATATGAATTTATAGGAAAAATCTTTGAAAATCTTCTTCTCAAGAACCACTGCGCCAGTAAAGATGAAACTTATGTGATAACATCCTCAGGTAGTGTAGATTCAATTTTGTTCAAATCATGACCCCCAGGGTAGGGCGGGGCCACAACTGACGATCAAATATTTACATAGGAATATATAGGAAAAATCTTGGCCAGGAAAGATGAAACTTATGTGAAAACATCCCCAGGTAGTGTACCGGTAGATTCAAGTTTGTTCAAATCATGACACCCATAGGGAGGACGGGACCACAATGGACAATTAAAGTTTTACATGGGAATAAATACATAGGAAATTTCTTTAAAACTCTTCTTTTAAAAAACCATAAAGCCATGATTGGTCATATTTTTATGTAAGAATCCTCACTAGTGTTGATTCAAGTTTGTTCAAGTCATGAACGGGAAGTAGGGGTTGGGTAGGGTTGGCCACAATTGGGGATCAAAGTTTTTATCAAGGAATTTTTTTCCCCAAGAACAGAAAAGCCATGTTTAATCATATTGATATGGAGGCATCCGCAGGTAGTACAAAGTCATATTGGTTCAAATGAGGGCTCCTGGCAGGGGTAGGACTGGGCCACAATTGGGGGGGGGGGTGTCAAATGAATAAACAGGAAAAAAAATCATCTGCTCGAAAACAGCAAAGGCATTTGTTGTATGGAAGCATCATCAGGTAGTTGGTAATATAAGATTCCAGACCCCCCAATGTAAACTTCTCAATACTGAAGTGATTTCTGCTTTTATTTCCTAGCCAATGTGCTCAGGTGAGCGATGTGGCCCATGGGCCTCTTGTTTTGGTATAAGGGTCATTTTTACAAGTACTGCAATGTGATATTTTCTACACAGCTTAGACTTCTCTGAGCTTTCACTTTTAGATTTCATAGTGTCAAGCTTTTATATATGCAGATTGTTGGTATTTTAAAAAACTTATGCATCGTTCTCATTTATAATGAAAAGAGCGGTGATCTGTAAGCACCAATATATGTCTTACCAAAAATATAACTGACTTAAAATAAAAATTCATATCTTACAGAAATAAATGTTCCTTAACCTAATGAAAATATGTTTGAAGCTTTCAAGTTTAATTTTACAAGCTTCAACTAGATGTCCTCTAAATTGTTACATTCATTTTAATCCAGAGCCAACACGACCAGGTCCCACGGATTACACCCTAACGAAAGCAAACCTCCGGAAGACCCCGATGTTCACTAACCGCCAAAAGACAAAACCGTCATTCCCGGATTCTCTGAATTATACTCCAAAAGGTAGTGTTTTTTCTTCTCCTGTAAGCAACATAGATATGACTGTAATACATCTAATATATCATGGTATAAATCATAGTGATGGAGTTTTTAATGTATAATTTATGATTTTTGGTTAGCTGATAGTTTGTTTTTTTTTAAATTATGCGCTTTTTTCTTTAGCAATTTGTGGCCAAATAAATAATTTTATACCTTAATGTATACAATAAAGGTTTTAAAATAAATTTGTAAAAAGAACAAATGGATTTTTTTTTTTTAACACTTCGTGTTTCTAGAGACATATCAATTTTAATAATCATATCTACACTCCTTTTTGACGTCAGACTCCGTTGATTTACCCGGACCTGGAAGTTACAGTACCCGGAAGAAGTTCTCAGCCAATGATTCTCCTGCTTTCAAAATTGGAGAGAAACTCCAAAAGAAACTAAGTGAGATTTAGCAATTTATGCTATTTGAAAATGTGAAACTCAGCACTACATTTTAACTTTTCTGCGCCTCGGTTGACAATGGATTTCTTGGGGTGAAATTTTTCAATGTTACACTCTACTACTGCTCCTCAGTTGACAGTGGTTTTCTTGCTTGGGACGAAAGTTTGCTATGTTACACTCAACTGCATGCAAGATTTATATAATTTTTTATATTTTCATGTAAATAAGTTGAATCTGATTGCTCGAAAAACATTTGTTGAAAAACACTATTACCCGCTGAATAATGAAGCCACGCCCTCCAGCGTAGCAACAGTCAACATTGCTTGACGACGGGTGATATTCCAAAAAATAGCGACTGCGCAGAATTTATGCGCGCACGGTTCACTGTTATAATGTATTTTTATAAAACATTCAGTATAATATAATGAATATTGCATGTAGTTGAGAGTAACATCGAAAATTTTTATATTTATATAATATCGTGCTTATTCATTTTCAGACGAAAATCCCGCCCCAAACAAATACGAGTACGAAAAGGGAGTGCCAGAGGGCCCTGCCTTCTCCATGGGAAAACGATTTGATATCCCAGATAGTGAGTATTAACTTTATTTGATATCCCAGAGATTGGGTATTTGCTGTATTTGATATCCCAGATAGTTACCGGTATTATTAATTTAATGTGTTTGATATCCAGGATAATGAGTATTATCTAGCTGAATTTGATATTCATGATAGAGAGTATTTACTGTATTTGATATCCCAGATAGTGAGTATTTACTGTATTTGATATCCCAGATAGTGAGTATATACTGTATTTGATATCCTAGATAGTGAGTATATACTGTATTTTATATCCCAGATAGTGAGTATATACTGTATTTTATATCCTAGATAGTGAGTATATACTAAATTAAATATCCTGGATAGTCCTTG